GCGTCGTGCGATAGCCAGCCACTTCTACTGACTCCGTCTGTCCGGTGTAGTCAGTGACCACTGGCTGGATGGCTCGGTGTCGAGTGATCGTTGGTTAGAGACTTACTGACCGAATGTCTCATATAATGCGGTAGCCTCACTCGCGGAACGCGTGTACCCGTGTAGTTCTTTATCGACTACGTATGACGGCACATGGTGGTGGAAAGCTCCCCAAAAGCGCGGCTCTGAGACGGCCGGGAGAAGAGGTAGGGGACAGGTAAGTTCCTTTACTCCGAGCTAACAACCTCCAGGTGAGAGAGAACACGGGAGCAGTTATCGGACGAGGAAGAGGAAAAGGGACGAAGGTAGCGGGAAAGAGAGCGAGGAAGAGAGATGGTGGGAGGAGGAGGCGTAGACTCCCGTCCACGTTTGACTTTCCTTTCTCTAAACGAGCCGCCGGCTGCTGCCCTCGATTCGAGACATCGATTGTGTCTCCGTGCTCTCCGGAATACATACGTCACGTAGAGTCGCCACCCGATCCTTCCAATCGCCAGGGAACTCTCCGCGATCGGCTTTTCGACTGACCCTGGAAACCTTCCTCTCGGTGCCTCTCGCGGGAGAAGCAGGAAGCGAGTCCCCAGTCCGAGGGTGTAAAGACCGTACCCTCGAGACAACAGAGACCATACTCTCGAGATAATATGGACCACACTGTGGTTATCGAAGCAACTTGGGATAGGATGAGGTCTCCATCGTGATCGAGTTGAGCAACAACGTTCGATATCGAGGAATACCACGGTGTTTTCAATTGTTACGGTATGCTAGCATCAAGTTCGCCATTTGCTAACAGATAATTCAGATTTATGGGCTACTGACTCCGTAAGCAGGCAGGATTGCTTTCAGTCGCTAATTTGCGATTAATTTGTACACTTCGTTACAATTAACTCACTGTTGCTGCGAATCGATCAAAGTGTCTGCTCATAAGTGATACTTATGACCGGTAGCAAACGTAGAAACGGATCAGAGTATCAGGAGTTCAGTGCAACGGATCTCTTTCTCTGATTGAATCCTTTGACTTGTACGTTTTAGATTGGAATTCCATAGGCACGAGTTTTGTCGATGTTTCTCTGTTTTTACTTGGAAGTGCCTTGGGAATAGCCTGTGTCGATCAATTTTCTCATCGGAATGCACGAATGCTGAATTAGCTGGCTCGAAGAATCGTAATTAGGTAGCTCTACTTCTTCCTTCCAAGTTGGAACTTCTCGATCGGACGAGTCGTATCGAATATTCTCCCATTTCCCTCAGCACTCGGTATTAATTAACTCTGAATACGTTAATAAATTTAATTCACTCGTTCAAAATCTAG